TTCAGCTTCCTTTTTATGCAAGATCAAGATTAATATTCTAACATATAGTTTATATCATTCTTTCACATTTACAAACTCAATCATACATGAAAATAAACTCATTTTCACATCAAAACTCAATAAACAAACAATTATCCAAAATAGGGGTCCCTTAGTTACAACAAACTTTTAAAAGGTTAAAATTTATCCTTCAATATTTTCTTCCAAACTTGCTTTCCAAACCCTAGTATGGTGCACTAGGTGATTAATTTACAATTAATCAAATTCACAATCATTCACATTACAACACATATAATATGATCTCTTTTTTATTATCTCTAAAATACCCAAAGCCTTTATTTCCTGTATTTAGACTTACTTATTAGGCATATTAACTCTTTTAGCTCCTATGAGCTTTATTAAGCTCTCACATTGTCATTAATGGCTTTTCAACCCATTCCAACCACCATAACAAATGGCATTTTCGGCCATAATGCACCCATAACTATCAAAATGTGTAAACTCATTATCCCCAAGTTTAAATACCTCAAACAAATCTCATTAACTCTATTTGAATCAATAAATTTGAAACCATAACCTATACAGATTGAAAATAATAAGAAAATGGTTGAAAAGGGAAAAGAAGAGGTTAGAAGTTGAAAAGGGAAAAGAAGAGGTTAGAAGACTTACTTTTAGGGTTAAATGGCTTAGAAACACCTCTAATTTTCTTGAAATTGAAAGCCGTAGCAGAGCTCTCTTCGTCCTCTTTGTTTCTCTCCCAATCCCTCTTTTCTTTCCTCTATTTTTTGCATTAGATTCGCATCTTAATTTTACAGAATGCGTACCGTGCACCATGGCACCTGTCCCCACACGCCATGACCTGTGGTACAAAGAGGGCACTTCATGCTCTAATTGGCCTGTGCACCATGGCTTGCTGTGCACATGTTACGGTGTGTGGCATAGAGCCATTTCTTTTTTTTTCATTTTTTAACATCTGGATGACCTGACTTCACTCTAGACCCAATCTTAGATCATCACCTAAAATGTCTATTAGAACTCTATAACCATACACCACATTATCTTAGCCCTCACTAACCATCCTCTAACTCCATTTAACATATTAAAGTTGATTATCTTGCTAATTAACTAAGAATTAAAATTTGAGATGTTACACTATTCTCAGTAGAGTAATGTTTTTCTAAACTATTCATTGTAGTAATGTTGTTTCTAAAATAATTAAATTAGAGCAATGTTACCCCATCATTTAAATTTCTATTAACAGTAGTTAGAAGGACCTACTTTTCATGAGTTAAGGTATAATTTTGCCTCAAAAACTATTCTCAAAAGAGTAATGTCTTCCCTAAATTAATTAAATCTAAGCAATATTGCCCCTATCATTTAAAAATCATAAACATCCATTAATTAGAGAGAGATATTGAAAAGTAATTTTTGTACTAATATCATTCCATACATGTAATGACTTTAAAATTTCAAATATATATATATAAATATATATATATATATATATATCTCTCAATTTATATTTTATTTAAATTAGTTTTATGACAAATGGAAGGTAGTGATTTAGTGAAACTTATGTTAATAGTTTATTTAAAGATTCAAAGTTTGAATTCTTTTGAGCAATAGGTTAAATTTTATTAGTTTACAATTTTGGAAAATATTACAAGAAGTGCCCATTTCTCTTATGTTATTAAAAGAAATGATGTGCCCTCTCTTGTAATTTTTGTAATTTTCTAATACTTAGATTTTTATTCCTCTCCCTTCTCGGTCAAATGCACGCATAAGGATAAAAAATTTCTAGGTCCTTCGACTTAAGTTGTTCGCCGATGCCAGCTCCCTCTGTTCCTCTTCAATTTTTCTAATGAGTTCTCGTTGTTTTGCCTCCAGTCAAGTGTTCCCCATTTTTCCTCTTCTTTGCTTCTCTTTTTCAGTAGTGCACACGCGTTATCAGAGGGAGAAAGATGGAGATTTTTTCTCGGTTCTAGTATCTTCGAACCTCAGATCTGAAAAATTCTTTCCTGTCATCTTCCTCTCCGTGGTCTTATCCTCTAGCCAGTGATAATAGTATGCTCGTCGTTGCCTAGTCATCTTCCTCATTCGATGATCTACCTTCTCCACTCATGGCTACGTCGTTACTGGTGTATGGGAGCTAATGCATGGAAGCTAAAACACTGGACTAAGCTCCTATCCATGATTCTTTTTTATTCTTGGTTTGATTTTGCTGGCTCTATTCTTCTTTTTTTTTTTGCATGATGCATCAGATTTTCCCTCCCCTATTCAGCTTAAGGTGCAATTTTGTCTTCCTTTCGTTGTCTTTGTTTGGTAATTTCTGGTACAAGAACTTCAAGTCTTCTTCCTATTTATTTTCGTGTGAGCGGGTATGTGAGTTGATGATTTGAGTTGCAAAAATTTTCTCCTTTGTTGCTGCTGAACGTGACTGGTTATTTATATGTGTATGAAGGAAAAGCTTGATTTAACATGAAATTTGTGGTCATATAAGAGAAGGAAATGATGGAGTGGGTTTGAGTTTTAATTGAAGCTGATTGAATTATTGATTATAACATTGCTATTAAAAATTGTAAGGAAGTGATATTGAGGAGAAGAGATTAATATGAGCTTAAAGATTGATGCCCATAAATTGTTTGATTAAATGCTCGTTTGGAGAGTTTTTGCTTAACTGTGTATTTTTGAAAGTTATAATGATTAAGGCAAAAAGGATGATTGATTCAAATGTTATTTAGTAAAGTTTTAATCTGAGCATTGCAAAGGAGTTTATTTAAAAAGTTATGGAGATCTTATTTAAGTTTTGAATTGTTGAGAGTTACAAAATTGAAAGGTTATAAAGTACATTATCATTTTAGAAGTTATACTTGGATGCTTCGAAATGGTTGGGCAATAGAATTAAAGGTTTCTTATTTTATTGAATGGTTTGGGATGTCGCACATTAAATGTTTGGTAAAAAGCCTAAGAAGAAATCTTTATGAATGAATTGTGTTCTTAAAACTTCAAAACTATTATTGTTAACTTAAGTTGAGTGAGTTCTTTCGAAATGGGATCTTGTTGGTTTGAAAAATAAAGTCCATTAAAATATTATTATATATTATAGGATGTTTGGAAGGAGGGAAGCTCAAATAGAGTCATAAGAAATGAGTTTGGTGCTTTGAGGATATTACACGTAAGTGGATAGCATCCCAACTAATTTTTCAATCAAACTTATCTTTGCAAAATATTACATTTTTATGTAAATTATTTTAATAACAACAATGTGATTATTGAATGATTTGTTGATTAAACTTTTTATTTTATGAAATTACCTTTATCAGTTTAGTAATGTTAGTTAATCAATAAATATAAGTTTAGACTTTAATTATGAGATTTCATGCGACTTCGATATTGAAAAGAAAAATTTGATTAAATAATGATCATTTTCTCGTATGTTTGAAATTGAATTTGTAAGGGACTTTATACAGAACACTGGTTGCTAACAACAGTTTCGTTAGCCCTTAGCGTGTCATGATACACCTAGCTAGCAGGATGTTTATAGGAGGTGCTAGCCCTGTGCGATGGCCAACGCACGTGGAATGGAGGGATAATTATTTGTGAGCATCGTACTCACATTTGTTTCGTGGCTTCGACCGCATTTGGTTACTTACCCTCATGAATTGTGTGTCCACGTTTGTTTTCATGGCATAAGCCGCGTTTGGTCATTTACCTTCGTGGACTATGTGTTCATGTTTATTAATTGTTTTGATAAGTTCTTATAGTTATAAATTCATATCATTTGATAATTTTATATATCATTGGCTTTTATTTAGTAATTTATTTATAAATATTTATTTCATTTATGTGCTTTCTTGAAATCAAGTGATATTTTCATTTACCATGATAGTTCAACGATTTGAGATTTTATTTGAAATTTTATTGAACCATTTTATTATGAAGTTTATTAATTTTTTTAAAAAATTATTGTCTCTTTAATTTACATAATTATTTTAAACTTTTCTTTTTTTCATGTTAAATTATTTATTGTTGGGACGTTATTCATTGAAAAATTACTTTTGATCTCAGATACTCTAGTTGACACCAATCCTCCATTAATTCATGAGAACTCATAGATGTGCTGGGTAAATAACTCATAGATCTTCCACTAAAATTTGGAAAACGTGTTTCTCCTAATTGTGATTATATGAAAACTTAGTAATATTTAGAGGCTTTGTCCCTTGATTTCCTTGTTGTTGGTGTTATTGGTGATTATTTAGTAAGGAGATTATATCCGCCATATCCTATCCTAAAGAGCTTTCATGCACGCCGACGCACAGAGAGAGAGAGAGAGAGAGAGAGAGAGAGAGAGAGAGAGAGGTGAGAGAAACAGAGGAGCGTGGTGTGGGCTGAGATGAAAGATGTTCAGTAGCAATCATTGAGGAGCAAGAAATAAAAAAAATAAGGCAAAAATAAAAAAAATCAACAAAGAGCAAATGCAAAACATAGAAATTAAAGAAGTAGAGTAGCAAAAGTGCAAAATGAAGAAATCAAGCGGAGCATAACGAAAAAGGAAAATAGACAGGATGCGTCTGGTTTGAGCACAAATTGAAGCTGGGTTCTGTGGAAAAGACGCACGAAGACGCACAAAGTTTAAATGAAGAAGAATGGAGGAAGATGGTTAGGAAAGATGTATGATGAAGAAGAAAAACGGAAAAAGACAGTTGAAAAATGTATAGCCACGTAGACAAAGCTTCGGTCAAAAGATTGGTCAACTAACATCCGTCTCTTCAAAATTAACAAGGAGGCATTGGGTATTTCATTTTAAATAATTAATAATTTATTTTGCAGTATAAACTGCCCAATAATTTTCAGAAAATAGCTCTTAACTAAATTTAAACCTTTATCCAATAAAACATCATAATCTGTAAATGATCATAAAGTATATCCAAAAGGAAGGCAAAAATAATACGGCCAATTACAACTATTCTCTAGTATAAAATTTAGCGGCACACGTAATGTAATATGTAATCCATTTCATTATCGATACAAATATCTGTACTTTAATGTTCACACATTTTACGTCCCCTGCACCCGAAGTACAGGCTATTCCCTACTAATTAAAAAAAAAAAAATGAACTATCCCCTACCCAAGACTCAATGTAGACACATGTATACACAAATATATCTGCAAATAAGAATGCGGATCATCTAACATGATTCCATCAGAATTTCACAGACAAATTGAGCTCAGTACTGTAGTATTAATATCAATGGGGCAACTGAAGGGCAAATTGGTGACTAGAGATCTCCACGTCCTCTTCTTCGGGTTATAGATTTGTATAAACAGAGAGCCTGCCTTTTTGTGGTGTCTGGTCCTCCTCCTTTTTCAGTCATATCAACTACACTTGAATGCGTCATCACATATAGCTCCCCATCTAATACCACAAAACCAAATGATGAGTTATGTAGAGGTTTTCTTGGTACACGAGACTCGCAGAGCCAGCGATTCGAAGACATATCATATCTGCAAGGAGCATTCAACATTAAAGAGTCACTAAAAATACTGTAACTTCAAAAGGTTTTCAAATTGTAATTTACGAGAAGGTAGAGAGCACTATCAAGATTGCTGCTTGCTAATTGATATACTATCAGGGCCACTATGTGTGTGAATAGCTTAGAAGAGTGGAACTTCACACAATCCGAGAAAAAAAGGACTCTCTGACCAAAAAGGGCAACAAATTCAAGAGCACATAAATAATACTGGACGCCACTTGCGCTTATAAGTAATAAGTAGCAACGTTAAAAGCAATTTTGCCCCACAAAAAGAAACAAAGAGAACAACAAATTTTACATTTTAAGCTCCTACGCAAAATCATTGTTGATTATTGCCAAAAAAGACCAGTTTTTGCTTCTAAACAATTTACCTACTTCTCATCCACACAAAAAGTAGCTTCTATTGACACAGAAGAATAACGAGTATCGGTGAGTGATGACTGACAAGCAAGCTTTTAATTAACATAACAGTATAAACAAGGAAAAGAACATAACAGTATAATTATATCATCGCCTAATTTGTTGTATAACGTCAATGAATTGAGCTCAAACAGCCTGGAAGGCCAGAACATTCCAAATGCATATTTATGACTCAAGAATAAGGTCTGCAGTGCATATAATACTTCAAAGATGACACTCCTCTTAAAAGTCATAGCCTCATAGAACCCATCCAAAAACAGTATTGCATGATAACGCACCAGTCTAAGTTAAAAAAAAAAACAGCATTAAGAATTCTCGTTGCTCATACTGCAAAATACAGATTACAGCACCACCTTTTTCAAATCATCATGGATTCATAGCCTCAATTATTGAAGAACCCAGACACCAGTGGTAACATAACGAAGCAAATCTAGTAGATGAATGATAAGGGGTGTTCACTAATACAGGAGACTATAAGAATAAAGAGCAAGTTCAAAGCCACCTTAACTAGCCAAGGGAAAACTCGTTAAATGAACACCCTTGTTCATTAAACTACAATATGAGATCGAACTTCCTAAATCCGTCCCCCACCCCCCAAAGGCACAAAGTACAAACTAGTCTAATGATAATATGATATGATGAGCACATTACAGATATTACTATTTTGAACAGAACTATATGTGTAAATCAAGGGCGACGATGTGACATCATTACTTTCAATCAAGTATTAGAATGACCCAAGCCTCCTCAATAAACTTTTACTCGCAAAATTTTAGTTATATATATAGATAAGAGTATCATTCAACAAAAAATCAAAAGGAAAGGAAAGACATATAAGGTTATAATTTCATTCTTTATTTAAAAAAAAAAACAGAAGCGGCGCGGGCACCGTCTTCCTACTCAACAATACCAAATCAAATAATATATCCTCACTTACTCATCATCCTATATATCTACACAAGAGATCATTCATACCTCTTATTATGGAGACTAACAAATCGAAATGAAAACCATCGTATGATTAAGCATCAGCAAACAAACATTCAAGCCGCTTACATTCCTTAGTGTAGTTCGAAAACATATACATTGGAGCCGCCAGAAATAACTCAGCAATTGGATTTATAATCCATTAATCGGAACGAATTGACTATTACTATTAGCCACCATTACGAAAGTTAACTTAAAAATTGTATCCTCACGGTCAAGTAACACAAAAGTGAGAGAGTACCTCAGAATCTCATTCCTGTGGAGCATGAAAATGCCGGGATAGTCTTGATTCTCGTCCTCGACAACAACAATCTTTCCAAGCCTCATCCTCTTCCCGTCTCCCAACATGTCCCCAGTCTCTCTCCACCTCCCATCATCAAACCCATCCTTCAATTCCATTACCACGGCGTCCCTATAGTACTCATCCACAGGGAAAACCCCCGAAATGGTCCTCGAAGCACCATATCCACCCATCACCCAGAACTCCCTGCTGTCCCCTTTTCGATTCCTAACAAAAAGACCAACGCAGCCCGCTCGGTAGTTGGGTAATTCATCCATGGCAACCCACTCATCCTTCCTAATATCGTACCTCTCCACGGAACATATTCGGCTTCCGGCGGCCGCGAACATCGTATGTCTCGACCCTCCACCGGCCACCAGAATCTGTTGGGAATCAGGGACGGCGGCACAGGCGAAGCTGCCACGTGGAGAGAGCATAGGGGCAAGGCGTTCCCAGGAGAAATCATGGAAATTGAAACGAAAAGTGGAGGAAGTCGGAGAGGGGCGATCCATCGGAAAGGATCGGGTGTCGAAAAGGGAGCCTCCGAGTACATAGAGGTGAGGACCGATGGAAATAGAGGAGAAGTTACAGAGGCCATAGACATGGGGGTTACAGGGCATGAGGGGGAGAGGGCACCAAGCGAGGGAGGAGGGGTCAAAGAGGAAAGGGGAGTCTATGGAAGGGTCCTGAGGGAAGATACAGAGGAGGTGAGAGAGGTGACGGTGGTGACGGCGGAGAGAGATGAAAGCTTTGGAGGAAAGGAAGAATTTCCATGATTTGCACGTGGGCTTGAGGCGAGCATGGTGGGAATAAGGGATAAAAGAGAGGATGAGAGCCGCGACGTCAACGGGGAGGCCCGGAATCAAGGTGAAAGTTTGATCGGTGGTGGGTGGTGTGGTGGATTGGGGTGGCGAAGGCGGTGGCGGAAGAGATTCGATCATTTGTGACTCGCCCTCGCCCTTCTCACCTGCTCAACAAGACACAAGACGCTAACCTTCGCTCACCACTGTGTCCAGCGCTGCCAGTAAATGGTAAAGGCTAGGCAATGTTTGGTTGGGGAGAGGGAGGGGAGAGGATTTGGTTCGGAAAAGTGGGGAGGGGTCCCTCCACTCCGCATTTGGGAGGACTGTAGAAGAAGGTATGATTTCATTGCATAATGATTAATATATTCTCTCTTTTTATTATTACTTTTCCTATTTTTAAACAAATTCAGTAATGATATTTTTAAATATTATATTTAACAATAATAATTATTTTATATATTTATAATTTCATGTTAAAAATATTCATAACTATATTTTATTAAAAAAATAATTTTAATAATATAAAAGTAAAACTATTTATATATAATTATCTTTTATCTCCTTCTTTTTAAATTAAATAAAATAATATTAAAATTTTTCTCTCTATTCTATTAAAATTTTTTCTTTTTTTTTTGAACCAAATAGATCTTAAAGGATGAGGAGTCCTTGATGTTAATTCCATTTTTTATTTTATTATTTTTTAATTAATGCCTTCTCACTAGCCATTAGTGTTGGAAATAGTTAAACTGAGTTTTTAAATAAGTTTATATGTTAGTTTTAAATGTTTGAAATATGTTTTAAAAATATTAAAATATATATTTATATAACATGGTTTATAAATTTTAATTTATAATAATTAAAATAATTTATTAACTATAATACAACAATAAAGTAACAATATTAAAATTAATATATGAGTTTAATATGATTAACAACACATCTAAAAATAAAAAATAAATTAATTAAAAACCAAATGATGAAACTAAATATATTATATTATATTACATAATAATATATATTTAAATAAATTAACCTGTTAGGCTTGTAGATTTTATCTGATAAAAATATGTCTGATTTATTTAACTAAATGAACCTAATTAAAAGCATAAATTTAATCCAAATTTATTTAATAAATAAATTAAATTAGATTTAAAATAGGTCAAATAAAGACTTGATTTATTTTGACCTTTACTAGCCTTTGAGACTTAGATCCAAAATCTAAATAGACAAGTAAAATGAAGAAGCTCTCTCCCTTGAAAGTAAAAGTAAAAGTTCACAACAAAAATGTATGACAATATCCTCAAAGCAAGCATCAACTGCCGTTTGGCTAACTTGATCATTAATTAATTAATTGGGTTTAAAGTTTAAACATCCATTGATCTATATCCATTTAACTTTAAGGGGAGAACTTAGATAATTTATATTTTTATTCAGTTAAATCAAAATGAGTGAAATTTAATTATTAATAATGTTAATAATAAGAGTTTGTTATAAAATAAATAATAAATAAATGATTTATATATTTTAATTAATTATAAGCAAACACCTAAAATATATAAAGTTAGGTATATATAGTGATGGACTTAAAAAGTTTTGCTGATGGGGGCAAAATATATATATATATTTGGAATACTTTTTTCCAAATTAATATTTTTAAAATATAATTATAAATATCTATTTAATTAATTAAAAATAAAATCTGTTAAAATTAAATACATAAGAAACAATACAAAAACTATAAAATTATAATAACTTGAAAAAAATAAAATTACATTAATATAAAAAAAATTGGTGTTGAAAATGATAGAATAAATAGTAACTGTTAATATCATATGCTAATACTTTTTTTATAAAAAAAATCATACACTTTTAAGATAAAAATTTTCAATATGAACAATTAAACAACCTGATATTATTATTTTTTGCAAAATAAAAATTAATATTCTATTTAAGAAGTTGAAATAAATATTTTATTATATTTCATCTAGTTAAAATATACATAATTTTCATAAATTTTGAAACAGCAAAACTTTCTTCATCTTTAAAAGTTTAAAATTAATATCCCTAACTTTTTATTTTTAATCACAGATTCTCTATTATTATTTCGTAACTATTTTACTAACAAGTGTTATTTGTATTAAGAAAAGATATAAGTACCTTATGTGACATTTTCATAGAAGCTAATAATAACTTTATACAAAATTTATCTATATTTTTCTATTATTATGGGTTCATGTCTGTCTCATGTTAAAGGAAGGATAAATTTTTACTAATGTGAATCTTTCTTGAGTTGTATTAAAAATAATTAAATATTTTTTCAATGTTAGGTGCCATATGTATCTCAATAATTTGATGTGGCAAATTTTGTTGATAAGATAATAGGTTTATTAATTGTATGGGGCTTTGAAAAGAAAAAAAACATCTGAAAGGTTAATTTTAAAAGTTTAAAAGAGAGAAGAGTTACATGCAACTATATTAAAATTCAGGAGACTTTTATAGATTTTAGTCTAATCTTATATACTTATATAAATAATATGAACAAAATAATTTTTCACATGGACCAATCTATCACCTAAAAGTTAACAATACAAATAACATTAATTTCGTTGATTGAATCACTGAGAAATTCAACGATAAAGACTGAAATAAAAAAAAATAAACCTCAAACAATGCTTGAGCAATATTTTAGGGAGGCAAGTGATAATTTTTGAAGAGGGTAAGTAATAATTTTCCCCACCTTATAGCTAAGAGGTACTAATGCATTATTGATTTTTGTGAGGGTATCTTTTAAACGTAGATCCATCTTTGAGTATATAAGTTTTTTTTTAAAATTTAAATTCATCGTATAACTTGGCAAAAAATTTGGGGGTGGGGGGACATGTGAGGTTAACTTATTTAATAGCACAAATTTATGAGACTTATCTCTCAATTAAGCATAGTGTCTTTGCTTCCCAAAATTGCCTTTGTCTCTTCTTTTTCCCAAGTCTCATCAGCATCACCCCTTTGGTCCTTCATCAACTTGTCTAGGGAGCACATCCACAGGCAAAATGTCAATAGAGAAAGCAACGCTTGTGCTGACATTATGCCAAAATCTAGTCATAGTTCTGGCTTTAAAGCCATCGTCCTCCTGCACGCTCCTCCAGAAATGTCATCAATTCTTTTGGAAGACTTGGCTTGCAGTGCTTAGCTCTTTTCTGTTTGATTTTCTTCCTAAGCTTTGGCTTGCCTATGTTATTCCAAAATATTAAAAATAAACCTTTTGCCTGTATAAGACTTGGACTTTTTTGTTTGTTGTTGGAAAAAAGGGAGAGAACATGCATCTAATTTGTAGTAAGTAAACACTGTCAAAGGAACACATGTCTTTTTCTATATATATATATATAAGAAAAAACACGAACTTAGATTTAATGAATGGCTTACGTCCACTAACTTAACAAGCATTTTAATTATAACTATTAGATTTTATTAAAACTTGAAAATGATTAAGATACATTTTTTAAAAAAATTTAAAACAACTCATATAATCAGAACACTTGTTATATGCTTTGTCTCCTTTGAAAATTTGGTACTTTCTATGTATTATATGAAAAATTTCTTATAGTAGTTTAATTAAATTAAATGAATGCACTTATACCATGTTTGGTATGATAGAATAGGGGCAATGGAATGTGAATAAGAGTAAAAATGACCTATTATTTTATTTGGTGTATAGTAATAGTCATTCAAAATTTCAAATGAAATGATCCATTACCTCATCTGAAGTAATCTCCATTCCATCAATAGACCTAGGAAATGGGTCCATTCCATGGGAGTGGGTCACTCAAGACAATGCAAATCCAAGTAACACGCATCTCAAATGTTGCATTAAGATCACACTTTCAAAGGACTGTTCTATGTGGCCCAAAAGAAAGAAAGATCTTTTGTAAAATCAAACAATAAATTTTGGGCCTTGGCCCTCCCTTTTAACAAAAACTTTAAATCAAAACAATGTCAAGACCATATTCAATGGTGTGGCAGTGGGATACTTTTAATATTAAAAAGCCAACAATAAAAAGTAAAAAGGAGCTCAAATAGTTTATTTTTCTGGACAGGATGGTGTCTTAAAGCCCAATTTATTGGGCTGAACTTGTCCATATGCTTTTCATATTTGACCAAAAACCCAACACATTTCGGACTCTTCGTGTTATTCCCTCCTGATGTGGGTCAAGTTGGAACATTAGGATTGAAATGGCAAAAAGCCTCATTTATTCGATAATAATTGAGATGCGTGTTCTGAAGAAAGAGAGTCGAGATACACCAAATTATTGTATTTTATTACGTAGTTATTTGTTTCAATCTTTGTATCAAATAGTATATGTATATATGTTGCGTTTATGAAATTAATTGGTATCAAAAACTCTGGGGAAAATAAATTAATATTAAAATTTAATTATAAACTTATTGGAAGGGGCCAACCTTTTTCCTTCAATATTATTGTAGAAAGCATTAGTCTCTGCTACCGAGAGGTATCCTGATCCTCCTTGTATCTTACAAAAGTGGAAGATTTTTTTTTTTTTAAGTAGGGGAAAATAACAAAAGCCTGAGTCATCAAACCATTTTCCAAATTTTGTTGACGGTCAATGTATAACCGATGCATTATAAAATATATATAGAAGAACACTCCAAGATGAAATGATCATCAAATATATAATACCGACCCTCTTTTTCTGGCATTCTGTGTTTAATTACTTTTTTAAGAAAAGATTTTGTTGATTCCATCAACGTCAAAATGTGCATGATCTTCATTATATAGTATAAATAATAGAGAAATCTAGATTGTCGACTGATTCAATATGTTATAGAAAGGTCCACTAGGCTTCCGTCGCATCACCATCTTGATTGATAAATATATAAATTTAGGGTACTTTTTTTTAACGAAAAAATTTAGGTTAATATTTTGTTAATTATCTCATTTGATCGATCCAACTCATTGATCAAGAACTATCAAAATTTATTCGAGCAGTGATTCGTGAATATGCTGAGACCACGACCTATCTTGCATTGTTGATAATTTTGCTTTCTTGCAAACAAAGCCAAGGAAATTAACACTATATGATAATAAAGCAAATATATATATGCACATACACATGTTCATTAAAATCAAGGAGAAAATTCAATTAATAGAAGACAAGGCAATTGGGTAGTACTCGTGTTATTGTCTCTCGTTTCCTTATTTTTGTCCTTGTCTTGGTGATACTATTCTTCTTGTAATTTTCTTGCAGTGGCCAAGTCGGAAACGACAATCTCTAATCGTGCGTTAGTTAATTAAGGCCTTTTCCTATTTAACTAAGCCATGGTTAGAACATTTTAATTCTATCATTATATTTTTTTTGCCAAATTCATTATATTATAGATATATGCCCCAGTACAACAGAATCCGAGAATAAATTTAAATAACTTGAAAAAACAGAGAGACCGATTCTGGGTTGTGTTGTGTATGTCTGCCATTCCTCACAACCATCCAATTACGAGCACGAGCACTACTCATTGTCCTACGTACATTAGAAATCGGCGAGTATATTATAATTATTCAGGAAAAAAACCGAGTATCTAGAGGAAGCACGAGCTGTAGAATTAATTTTATTGCAGATTAATAATAATAGTAATAAATTATTGTAAACAAATTACATTATTTTTTATTTATAAGTTATGAACAATACAGTCACCTCAAACGCTTAAACTATGTAATTAATACACAAGGAAACGCGTTAATCTAATAAAATGTTGTTTTGTTAAAACCGTATAAAATAATCCGTTCGAGTTGGACCTTTTTGAAGAAACATATATGTAACTGTATAATATAGTTTTTGTGTGTGTGTGTGCGTGTGTGACTGTTAATAACTCGAAAAGAGATACTGAAGGGGTCAAGAAATAGTTAATAACTCGAAAGGAAGCTGCGAGAAACAGTGATACTTATAGAAGTTAGTTAATATTTAATAGCTCGGCAACGCTGTCTCTTTTACATGGAAAAGTAGGGAGTCGAGTCTCTTAGTATTGGTATAGAAAACAACAAATTCATCGATCGACGACGACGACGACCTGAATCAGAATCATGGAAAACATACACAGTACTTACTAGTGTATTCACTGAAGCGGTAATGCTAATACACATGTACATTATTAAATCAATTAATTAATCATTCCCAGCATATCAATCAGTTTCTAACATTGAGATTATAATATTAATTAGCACTTAATTTCTGATCCAGACAACTAAGATCACGCCCATAATTAATATTACATCTATATATATATATATATATATATATGAGAGTATAATACAAACAGGAGCAATGTAATCTAGTTAAAGTTAATTGTTTCGTAATCAAGTTGACGGACATGCATATAAGGTTAAATGGAAGTATATATATGATACACAGTAATTAACCAAACTGCTTGGTGCAAAGTGGTGAGAGACAAGACAAGTATATAAGCCACAAATTAAAAAGGATGACATCCACCACTTTTAAGCAAAGCAGAGGGAAGGTTCCTGCTTGTTTCCTCCCAAGTGATTTGATCTCTCAGTTGGTAGTCACACTCTAATTTTCTCCCTTGGTTTTCCAATCACTTGGAGATCACTCTCTGATGTCATTCCCAGCTAAATATGCAAGCTAGATCTCTCTCTCTCTCTCTCCCCCCCTCTCTCCCCCCCCCCCACACACACACACAAATGCGATGCCCCTTACGTAGTAAATTAATTGGCTTTTGTGAAACTCTCAAGATCGAGCTAAAAGAAAATTACCCCATCGAGTTTAATTATTCTTGCATGCCGAGGAGCCTTTTTGATCCTTGCGAACCATGTCGGGGCTCTTACTCTATAACTAGATACACTTGCATGTATATGTATGTGCATCCTTAGATTAGTTGTTGATGCAGCAACGAAATAAATAAATATTATAATTATGGCACACGCAATTAATTAATATAATATTACTCTGCGCGCGCGCGCGCGAGAAAGGGAGAGTAATTGATATTTCAAACATTATATTGGGAAGTTCATGCATGCATTGTATATGCATATATAGGGTCTTCATGATCTTGACTCTTGTAGGTTTTAGGATTAATCCAAATCAAATTTAGTTGACAGATGTAGTGGTTTAATACTCTTTTTCAAAAATTCAACAACTTCTGTGTAATTGTCATGAATCATTATTTTCATTCACTTGAGCTTGCAAAACTAATCTTTATTTAATTTCTTATATTAGATATATTTAATGATAGTATTCTCTATCAAAATAACTTAAGTTTGATTAAATACTTCTTGAATTTATATATTTATGATCTATTTTCTAATCTTTCGATATGTGACTTCTTTTATATTCTAATATTCTCTTTATTACTTTTTTTTCTTTTTTTTCTTTATCTAGGCTTGTACTTTTTTTAGTTTCAAAGACCTCAAGTTTATTCAATTTCTTGTTCTTCTCCTTCTACTTCTCTCTTTTTTTTTCTTTTTTTTTTAATCTCTAGTTGCATTTTCATTTTTTTTTCATTCTTTTCTTTATTTTTGGTCTCCCAATCAAATGGTTCTAACACATATTAGATTTTTTATATTATGTATGCTTAAAGATAGTATACTCTATTAAAATAGTTTAAACTATTTAGTTAGATACTTTCTAAACTTATATTTTCATAATCCATCTTCTAATATTTAGATATAGGATTTCTTCTATATTCTAATAACCTTTATGTTGTGTTTTCTCTCCTTAAGAACACATATCAACTAGTCAAGGCGCGTTTTTAGTTTAGTGTTGAAACAAGATAACTTGGACGGTAATTATTAATAATTAATTATCATTTCGAGCGTCTTAAAAATGTGTCCACATCTGCTGTCTAGAAGTTTTGGTATAATATATATGAACATAGATACAGATAGGTTCGGTAAAAGCTTGTGTATGAATAAATAAATGATTCTGTCTTTCAAATATTGATAACTCTATGTATTTACACCCAGAAATGAAATAATATTAATAAAGGATCCAAAATATAGGTTTAGTTTACCTAACCGCATAAAAACCAGGGAAGTCGATCGCGTAAAGGAATTAACTCAATAACATCTATCGAAAACTGACAACACTTGTCAAATTTACCCCCTTTTAACTTTAAAGATAACAATTTCAAGATGATCAACTAATTAACTACTCATAGTATTTAATTGCACGCAAAAAATTTAAAAAAAAATAATACCCTAAATTCTATCAAATAGCAGGGCTTATATACATGTTTCAGATTACAAAAAAAATAGTCATATTTTGGACTAAAGAGAGTGATTAACAAGTGGAGCGATTCATGAATAATTAATCACATTGGGAACTGTTTGTATGCAAAGAAGAGTATCATAGGATTGCATTAAATCAAAACATTTATATATTTGTCGAAAACAGGAGTAATCATCTAGAAATTAAACTGGGGAATAATTTATTAAAAGGCATTGCAAGAGTGTTATATACACATACATGTATGTATTCTTAAGCCTTACATATGCTATCAGTTTGATAACTTCATTCATCTATTTTTTTATTGCGACTTACAAAATATTTATTAAAATAAACCTGATCACTAGTAGAGAGAGAATATACTGTTATGTGCTATCAGGAAATACAAATCAGGGGTTGCGTGCGTAAAGGGAAGGTGGATGAAAAATACAAGAGAAGCTAACGGGAGACAAACGAGAATAAAGAAGAGATATAAATAATCAATGCCGATAATATAAATATTTTTTTGTCTTGTAGTACATAGAGTGAGATGAATTGAATCCTCAGCCGGCTCTTCCACAATTAAAACCCTCCTAGTTATAACCAAACCTATCAAAAGACTTTTCAAGCTTAATTTGTCTATTCCTCCACCTTTCTTCTATATTAATAAACACAGACCCTTCCCTCTCCTTCTCTCCCTCTCCCTCTCCCTCTCCCTCTCTGAGCAAGCCAGCATGGAGTTCAGATACCCAGAAGAGTCAAAGAGCTGGAGCGAAGAAAGCGATGATCGATCGAGCAAAATGATGAAAGAGGAAGTGGAAGATCCTACGAGTGTGTGTTTTGCAAGAGAGGATTCACCACAGCGCAAGCTCTTGGAGGCCACATGAATATTCACAGGAAAGATAAAGTAGCCAAGTCGTCCAGTACGAAGCCCACTTTTCCTGCAGCTTCCACTTCAACCAAACTCTATGACCACGAAACCGACCATGCAATTTCAAGCTTTCCACCTGGGAATTACTTTTCTACTGAGCTAGATCAAAACAGTAATTATAATTACCCTCCGTCCCAATTTCCTTTTGCTGCTGCACAGTACAGTGGCCAAAAGGATCGGGACGTGTTCGGAGGAGATAATTGGAGGACGGGTTTGAGTTTGTCCAATATGCGTGATGATAAAGAGAAGATAGAAGGTAGCAGTGAAGATGATGCTCTGGATTTGGAGCTTCGATTGGGCTATCATTCTTGACATGCATATATATTCTACTTCTACCCTTCAAATCAAGAGTATATAATCCGGAGAGTGGTTAACTGGTTATACCTATATATATTTATAAGTGTTCAGCTTCAAATCTGTCACGCCTATGTCTGGTTTCTGAAATCAATTGAAGGCAAAGGCCAGGAGAAGACGGTATATATATATATATATATATAAGCTAGCACGTCTGTCTCCTTGATTACTGCATGCAATTGTATAGAGATGGCCTGGAGGTTAGAAGCCGTTGAGCGATTTGCCTAAAGCTGGTTTAGGGCTTTTTCCTTGATGATGATCCGATGATGAAGGTACTCATCAATATATATTCAAATTTGTCCGCATAAATATAATCCTTGTAGCTAGCTTGGTGTTCTATCGATCCATTACAAATTCTTTTATGTTTCTTCATTGCTCCTCTTTCTCTTCCCTCCCTTCCTCTCTCTGGTTCAATTTCTGTATGCATTAGCTTCCTGCTGAAGACAATGGCTGATCCTATTGTCTGCTTATACGGTTTTGGAGGTTTATGACTCAGCTATATTATGATGCTTGATTTATTTGTCCTTACTACGAATCTGCCTTTTCAGTGTATTGAATGTATTTATAGCATAATTGAGAGTAATTTTCAAAATTTACGAATAAGTGTGGCTGCTGATTTGCTATATCTGCTTTTGCTATTTTCTGGATATAAGTGCGTGTGTGTGACTAAAATGTTATTTAATTAGTTTTTGACATACACAAGCTTAATTCCTACTATGAAAATGGTTTTGCATTATATACCTAATAATTGCGTACACGTATAAATTTTTTTTTTTTTTTACGAGCAAAGAAGGAAACTTATCATTAAACATAGGCAAAGAGAAAATATAATCAACTGCATACTCCTGCATGATGTCCTTAAGCATTTTTGTGAGTTAAATCGAGGTTCTGACCACCAAACCAGACATGCTCTTGCATTTTTATTTGTGTTATATCCTCACTTACATTGTCTGCAAGCTTTGGATATGTATCCAACAAGCTTCTAAATAGCATTTGTACATGCTTCAGTAGTATGTGGTCATGATTGTTAAAATGAACTTGTGCCAATTGCAAATTCATGTATTTTGGAGAGAAATATTGCTTTCCTTGGATTTTCATATGACATGTGTCATTCTCAAGAAAATGCATTGCAGCCACACGGTCTAATTAGGACTTTGTGTTTGGCTGCTTCTATTTGGTCAGAGTTGGATTTTTAGAGAATGAATTAATGGTACCAATTCTTAATTGATGATATTTATACATGTCCACGCTCGTACACACTCACACAAACTGTAAATAGGGACGTACCTAGGTTCAATAGTGGGGGTCAAAAGAAAAAAAATTACCCAGAATGATCCTTAATAATTTTAGTTGTCCTCTTCAAAAAATTTCATTTGCCCCCTCATTCCAAAAAATTTTATTTTCCCTCTCAATTCAAAAAATTTCACTTGTTTAATTGTGCCGAGAAAGTTGAGATTAAATAAATAATCTTGAGGTTTGAAAATCATCTGGTAGTAAAGAATAGCCATAATGGCTTCTAACTGTTGTTCAACTATATGGATCTAGATCTAAACTTTTAATCTTGTAAAAAGAGTCAGATCTATGAGCTTGATGTATTATCTCAAATTTTATATGTCTTGTAACCTTAGATAGAAATAGTTTTAAAATGAAAAAACAATAATTAAAAAATGTTTATATAAAATTTTATCACAAAAAAATTTCTACCATAAAAACGAGAGGTACATAGATTTTATTTAATGAAACTAAAAAATTGATTCTAATAAATATAAAAATGTTAATAAAAAGAGATTTTATAATGGAATGTTTTATGGGTTGTTTTTTAGTATTTAATTTTATTAACTTAAGTATACCCTAAAATATGTTAATATTTATTTTGGGTATAAATCATCCGCCCCACCTCGGGGGGTTGGAATATACAGAAAAGCAACATTTTGTTGGAAGAAGGTCAGAAATGTCACCCTCTGGTGATAATATATAAGTTTGTATATGGGAAGACTGGCTAGATTCTCTTTTTTCAATTATATGAAAACAATTGTCTTATAACTACTACAATATAGACTAATTATATTATTAGTTATAGCTTAATTAATCATTGTTTTGAAGAAGGAAGAGAAAAAAGTAAGAAGGAGACGGTTACAATCACAACTAAATAGAGATATAAAAAGATTGAGCAGGCCGCGGACGGAGGCATATATATTTGATGCTTGTTTCTAACGCATGTCGCATCCTCACCAACTAGTCTTACGTACGTCGGCCACTTTCATATTCTAAACGTTGATATGCATCTTTTTTCCTTTCAAACGTTAGTATAATTATAAAGAGTAGTTGCTATATAACTAACCGGTCCCCAGCAAGAAGATTTATATCTCTATTGCTTGGTCTTCAACTTGGCTTTGGTTGGTTAGTCCGTTTTGTATTTGTGCTTACAATAATTTGACTAAGACAAGCCATCACGAGAATATATACCCCCGAAGCAAAAATAATGGGGCAGGTCCACGTACATATCTCCATAAACAAGAGCGAAATGTGACAGCTTTCCACCGGAAGCTTATGAATCAAGATACTGTGATTTTTTATTTTTTTAAAATAAAAGAAGAATTAATGTATATAAACGACAAAAAATTATTGATTCGTCCACTTATATATTTAAAACTAAACTAGAGTACGACGTATTTGGTTTGTAGGAAAAGTGATTGATGGAGAGGGAAAAGATGAACGATTGATGCCCAAATTATCTTGTCTGCTTCACATGAATTTAATTATTACAACTTCCATATTCCTTTTCCATCAAATAACCCTTGCGGGAAATTTTTCCATTAGTGAAGTATGCAAAGGATGATATTGTATTTGTACATTATGGAATAGAGAGTGTAAAGTCAAAATTGCCCTTGCACATAATCACTATCATGTCTGCTTTCAATTCCTATCTTATTTATACTTTAGCAACTATATATCAATGCAAAAATAGTCCTGCGTTGTATACAGCATAGTCTTATTGTGATGAAAACAAATATGAAGTGGGAATTGGAGGGAAGATGAGAGGAGGAGGAGGATGAAGTAAGAAGGGATGAAGGGTGACGTAGGTGTTGATGTGAGAGAAGGATAGCAGAGATTCCTTCGTCTGCAAAAGTATGTGTGTGATTGGAGGGGGAGACACGAGATGTCCAATTAAAATGAAGCCAAAAAGGGAAGGGTAGCTTTTATGTGAAGGATTACACCCACCCACCTGCTGCAATCTTAAGCAACAAGTTTCTGCAACGAATGCATCGATCCTGACAAATCCTAATCCAAATAATTCCCCTGCCTTCAATTCCTCTCACGTTTCAGAATTGAGACCGCTCATCACCTCCATTTAATTCACTTGTTTCTCTCACTCACTGATGCCCACTGTAAAAAAAAAAAAACAATAAAATTTTATCAAAATATATAAATAACAATCAAGGTTTTTAAAATGTTATAATTTTTTTAAAATCTCTAGATATTTTTATGACATTAATAATTTTAAGTCAAATGAATAAATTGGCATTTGTTTAAAATAAAAAATGATAGGTTCACATGAAAAGTTATAATTTCTTATTCAATTATTACAATTTATAAAATAAAAGTTATTATGGCTAAAGCAAAAGCTACAACTAGTTATTTTCAGAACTTGAACTTTAATAATTAAATAAATTTTATATGAGAAATTATGATTTCTTATTTAATTATTACAATTCACGTAATAAAAGTTATGATTGTCTAAACAAATTATGATTTGTTATTTTTAGAATTTGAACTTTACTAATAAAAGAAATAACTTCGTGTGAAAAGTTGTAATTTTTTGTTCAACATTTACAATTTACATAATCAAAGTTGCAATTGTATAAATAAAAATTGTCATTAGAATTAGTTATTTACAGAACTTGTTTATCGATCATAAAAGAAATTTCACATGAAAAATTATGATTTTTTATTTCATTTTTACAATTCATATAATGAAGGTTGTGATTGAAAAAATGTAGCTAAGCCCGTTAATTTTATTTTAAACAAAGGACAATTCAATCATTTAATCTAATATTAGTAATGTTAGAAAGATATCCAAGAATTTTAGAGAAATTATGACACTTTAAAGGACCTGATTATTGTTTATATATTTCAGTGAGATTTTATTGTCATTTTTTTCCTATAAAAAAAGCTTCATTTTTTAATTATTCTAAAGAAATAAATCTAGTTATCAACACAATAAAATCTATTTACTATCATTCAAGATACATTCTTTAAAAAAAAATAATACTAGCAACTTGCTTCCTCCCTTCTGTCCAAAACGTAAATAGTTTTTAACAATAATATGCATACTACTAAAATATTTTCATTCTTATGGAAATATATTATTTTTTATTTCTAGCTTTAGTTTCAATTTATGATAAATGAGAAATAAGGTCATAAATTCATAAATACAAGAATCTGGGTTAACAAATACAATGGTAAAATAAGTTTTTTTTTTTAACAAACGTCAAGTTGCTTGTATTTCTAATCAAGATCAGTTAAGAGAAAAATACTTGTATTTTGGATAAGGGAGAGTAAAACTCTAGATACAGTATGCTAAAAAATACAAATTCTTAGGTCCCTCTTGATGTGATGGAATTTGGAACATGTAATTGAAAATGAATATGGAATTAGGAAAATGTGACAGAAATGGAAAATTTACCAATTCTAATTCCACGAAAATTGTTGGAAATGGCTTCGATGATAAAATCTCAGTTTTCAGATTCCATGTTCCCTTTCTCTTTTTTTTTTTTTTTAACCCATTTCTCTTTTGTCTAGCTCAACCTCCCCGTTGAACCATGGTTTGTGACCCAACGGAGGTTTCAAATAGCTATGAACCCAGGCTTACACTTAACTTAGAGGGGTCCACCAGCGTTGGGGCTTAATGGTGGTTTTCGATGATGAAGGTGGATGTTGATCCAGTTTTTCCTTTTTCCATCGGAGATTCGGGTCGGCGGTGGTGGGGCGATGCTTTTACAAGTCCAGGTTTGTTTCTGGAACAAGTGTGTTTTGGTATTTTTAATATTATAATTATACATTTTAAATAAAAATAATATCATGATTTTATGAATATATCAAATATAGTTTTAAACCGCATATCTATATTCACTCCCCTATCTATTCTCATTCTATATTTATTTTCATTTTCAATTAAAGTTTCTTCCATCGTAACAAACAAGTCCTCTATAATTATTCATTATTTTTACATGTTAAAAATCAACTTGTAATTTTACATCAACTTAGAACGTTAAAATAATAATTTTTTAATGGAACTATAAAATTAATTTATTGCATAGAAATATATTAAAAATACAATAAAATAACTAACATCCACACAAAACATGTTTTTTTAAAAAAAAAATGTGCACGTATGTACCAGGTCGAATTGGGCCTTGTTTTATCCCAATCTAGCCTGAAGTGACCGGGTAAGATCCAATGCCTATCTACTTGGACTTCGGAAAGCTTCATACTTCAAAGTTCAAAGCCTTGGTCTGTCCAATTCTCTCAACAATGATCATTTATGGATCTGGCCTAATTTAACTCATCCAAGCTTCGTTGAACCCAATCCAAACCACCCTGCCACTATGCCAAATTGCCAATGATCGAATATTAAAATTTTTGAATAAATATAATTTTTAATCCTTATACTTTACTTGTTTTTAATTCTTATATTTTTTTTATATTTTAAGTCTCTACATTTATTTTTTAATTATTTTGGATCCTTCTTTGAGCAAAATATAGATATCTTAACAGGATTTAAAATAATAAAAAATAAAAGTATAAGAACCTAAAACACTAAAAAAAAATATAAAAACTAAAAGTAAAATGCTAGTAAAATATAAGGACCAAAAGCGATATTTATCCAAAAATTTTCAATAGTCAAATTTTTAACTGAAAGAAGCTTCAAATTTGACCATACAGTCACCGATAAATTGTAGCATTTTTTAAGTTGTTACAATTACTCTGTGCAGATTTGCATAAAAATTCAACGAAAATTCTTGTTTGAGTTTTACATTTTTACTGGCTAGAGGACAATTTCACCTCCCAACAAATTATTTCTCTAGATTTGGGCAAAATAAAAAAGAAATTAGTTCTCTAGATATGATTCTTCTGTATGAGCATTGAGCAGGTTGTGACTCAACTGCCAATCTACCCTTACAACTATGACGTTTTTTATGTTCATATAATTAAAGTTTTAAATTTCGATTTTCCCAACAAACGAGATTCCAGTTTTTCCAAAAAGGCAAAGTAGTGGGGAGAATGATAAATAAATTCTTTTAAAATAAAAAAATAACAATTTAATTTTGCAAAATGTGATAATAAAAGTGTAATTTTAAATAATTTCTTTAAGATTAAATTTATATGAAATTATTTTAGAATCCCTTTGCAATTTAAAAAGTGATTTTCTAAATAATTTTAATCATTGATGGAACAAAACTTGCAAATTTTTATTATCGAACTAGTAAATTATATAAAATTAATACTTTGCTGAATAAAGAAAATTGCCGATAGAAAATAAGAATTTTTTAAATTGTTTTAATCATGTGTGAAACTAAACTTGCAATTACTTATACCAAACTTATAAACTATATAAAATTAATGTCACACTTGCAACATTGCAAACGTGAAGTCAAACAGATATAGTAATGCCCCTCACAACTGCTGCCACTCTTTTCTTTTCGGCCAACATCCATCAACACTCATTCTATACCGTTCTGGGATTACCAAAGCTGTTACCATGTACTGGGCAGTAAACTTGAGTCACGTCTAAAAATGCGCACAACCGTTCTATCCATTACAGCAAAACATTAAAAGGCTCCTAGCTTTAATTGAGCGCACTATCACATGTTGGAATCTATTTTTGGAAAATCTTTACCTTAAAAATACTAACAAAAGCTGGCTCCACCCTTCCAAGTTTCAAAGATCCATGGTTCAATCAGAAAGAGGAGATAATATACAGCAAACTGAGTATGAACATTGCCCTTCGCGTTCAATATCTGTTTATATTATCAAAATCTTTATACAAACACAGCAGCGGATCTTACCATTAACGATAAATACAGTAAAATTAAGAACAGCACATTCTCAATCCCAATGCAGATGACAGTTACCTAGTGAGATAGTATACTATAAGAAAAACTACAACAAATGAGACCACAAGTGTGAACATTCTCCGGCTCGATTTTGTCTCGAATACCTGAAAGATGATACAAGATGATCAAAACCTTTATTCCAAGTTTCCAACCCTCATCCCTTTTATCCCCAACAACAGCGAGAACAAGAGAAGAGGAGGAGGAGAATTAACTAATGTGTATAAAGAGGAACTGAAAGAAGAATCAATCCTTCAAAAGGCATAACTGATTTCCAGAATAATACCATTTTAAATTTGTCCATAGTGCCTGAAAGGACTCCTCTTGATGCATCCATATCATTGCCCTAATTGAGCACCATAAAATCATGCCACAGCAGAACAAAGAAATAAACAGAGCAAACATCAAATTAAGTTTCATCTTCCAACAGTTGCAGCATACGCACCATTCGGTCCAGCATGCGGTTATGGTTATCCACCTCCTCATTTATATCACCTGACAACTGTTGCAATGTCGACCGTTAAAAAGTATAACTCCAGTTAATATTTAGTTAAAAATTCTTAAATCATGTACAAAAATGCATGCAAATCATATCATATCTGTATGAAATACAATATGACTTGCTATATGTTTAAACTTTTGAAAGGTCCTTAAAAACCAGATAGAGGGAAATCACATCCAAAATGGATAACGCCCCTCACTCCATATTGAATTGATGAACAAAATGAAACAAGTAGTCCAGTCAGCAGTGAAAAATAATAGACAAGCTCACAACTTTGAAACAAAGATTAAAAAAAAAAAAAAGATAACACCTCTGCAGCAGACACAAAAAAAAAAAAAAAAGAATTAAGACTAAAGGTACACAAAAGAGCTGAGATGATCACTGATAGCAGTAAATAAAAGTATGGCAAGATGATTGTCAAGAATTTTTCCGAAAGGTCAGAACGAAACTGGACAAGTTATGAACCAAGATAAACTTACTCTTTTTAGCAAATTGACTCTATCTTGCAATCCATCTAGTGCTCTTTCATTGTCATGTTCATCAATTTCATGGGAAGAGTATGAGGATGATGCCCTGATACCGCCCTCTTCAATGCCATCAAAAAGGGCAACCCTGTTGTTCCGGAGATCCCTGCAAGGATTTAAAAAGAAAACATAAAACCCACAATGGCCAGATAAGAAGCAAATTACATAAACAACATAAAGTTCCTTCTAGCTTGTTAAACCCTTGAACTGTTATAAACTGAACCAGTATCTCCATTTGAAAGTATTCCGTAAAAAGTATTTTTCTTGAAAACAAAAGTATAACCAACATATGACATGCCCCAAATCCAACAAAGATGCGCTCAGTTCTGTGAAATTTGGTTGACAGGCAGGACAGACAAGTACAATCGATGACTTCCAATATGTGCCTTACGCAGCTAGGCACTGTCCCATGGCATGTGCGGAAATTTATGGAAAGTGAAAAGTTGGACTACCAGGAACCAAAGTGCCATGGCATAGACCGTGGACAAAGACTAAGGCAGTGAAATCCTTAAAAAGGCAGTAAACAGTTGATTAATTGAGTTCAGTTGCAACCAGGGGAATAACGAGTTACCAGCTCACATATGGTTCTACAAGGATCAGATTAGAGGAACAGGACTGAATAAAAGAAATCAAGTCACCTAGTTGCACAATTACAGAAAGATTAACTGGAAGGTAAACTAAAAATTAAAAGAAGAAGAAGAAGAAAGTGATTTTGTAATGGCTCTTGTACATCAAAAACAGCTTGGCTATACAAATTAGACCACGGCACACAGAGAGAGAGAGAGAGAGAGCTTACACCGCATTTTTCTTCGACACTTTAGATCTATTTTAGTGAAACCTGAGCACATTTTAGCAACTACATCCTCATCCTAATTCCTGCTCATACCATAACAAGCTAGACCAACCAATTGAAACTAATTAAATCGAAGACATTTTCTTTATCGAGAAACAAACATCATCTTTACTATCAAGAATCGGCATGCAACCGATAGCCCAGTCATCAGATCAACAATGATTGGAGCAACAATAGGAAGATTCAAGGAACGGTGAATTTGGGAAGATAATCGACACTGACACTCTATCCAGATTCCACGAAACAGAATTTCAAAAGAACTAGAGTTATGAAATTGCTATTTGCCCATCAATAAAGGTAAAATTTGTAAAGCCGATATAAAATTGTCATGGGATTGAAATCCAAACCGTCTTAGCATGCCATAGCTACGGTCCAGGGATTTGAATCACCAATTGTTGCCCAATAAATCGAATAATAAAAAGTCTATTTCTAGAAATAAATCCACAGATTGATGTATCCAAAACAGGCCACCACTATAGATCGAATCTTCCAGAAAAGGATTACCCGAAAAATAAAGCTAAACATAAATCAGTAATTCACACCAACCTCCTAGCATTCATGGCTGACAACATCACCGATTTGATGAGCGCTCGCAATTACCCGATCGTCCGCTCTCTGTTTAGAAGAAAAGAATCTTCACATATAATTCACCGAAAATTCTCGCGGTGACAAAGAAATCAGAACGGAAAGCAATGGAGCGAAGAAGAAATGCACAACTCAGCGAATAATACAACAAACATGATGAACAAAAATCAGATCTGATAGATTCTTTAATGATGAAATGAAACTAAGAAGGAACAGGGAAATCCTGGCGCGAACGCTAACCTTAGTCCTTAGGAAGGGCATCCCAGAGTTCTCTCTTTCCGAGCAGCGCAAATGTGGCAGAGAAACAAAACGGACGGAGTAACGGAAAGTTATATAGAGTGCAAGCCCGGCGAGGGTTGCTGAAGTGGTGAAGAAAAAACGGAGCGGTGCGGTAATACAGGATTGCTTAACCCTTCTTTGCCTCTACTGGGCCCCATTAATGATTTCATCTGCACTGTTGGTCCGGCTTCATCCTCTTGATGGAGTGCATCCTTTAAACTGTGAAGCAGTGGAAATTGTTAAATTAGATTTAATAATTTAAATTTGATAATTTTAAAAAGTGCAGATTAATTTGCGTTGTTAAATTTTAATTGAAACAATTCAGATTTACAGTGAAAATACAATAGAGAAAAAAAAGTAGAAATTAAACCTTTTGACATAATAAAATAATAACAGTAATAATAATAAATTGATACTTAAATTCAATTTTTAAATCAGAAAACACAGAATGACATTGTCCTGATTTATTTGCATTTCGTAAAACACTATTTTTAATGACTTTTGAAATTTGAATAACGTGTCAAAAATTTCTTTTTTCTTTTTCCTTTTATTTGAACAAGGAGTGTCCGGAAGATGCCAGCCGCGATGACAAGAAGTACCAATCATTGTTTTTGTTCTGACTTTCACCTTATTTTAGCCAAGTTACCGTGCATATTCCCTGCCATGGCAATTTAATTTGTGTTAAGTAGCAAAAATCTCGTGATGTGGATTCCCCAAAGCAATCATTAGTGCCGTTTTTAAATTTAAGTTTCTGGGTACGCACAGCAGGCTTAAGATGGATTTGCTTTCGATGCTCTTTTTGGTGTTCAGCATCAAAACACTGCCGTTTGACAGTGTTTTTTTTTTTGGCTTTTTTAAACCACAAACTCATAATAATAATGAACAAATATTACTCTCTCTGTTAAAAAATATAAAATATTTTTAAAAAAATTGAATGTTTAAAAATGTAAAACATTTTTAATGTTTTAAAAAATAATTATTATTATTTTCAAAAGTATCCCTATTAATAATAACTTTATATTTATTGTAGGGTATTTAATAGAGATAAATATAAAAATATAAAAATATTTTTAAACGAAGGAAGTATAAAAATATTATTTTAATATTTAATAAACAAATGAATATATTTTCTTCTGTAAAATACAATCTTTTGCTACTGTTTGTTCTACAGTAAAAACAACAGCAACATCCTTTTAAAATAAAAAAAAAATGCTGACGTTTTCTTGTTCACTGCACAAGGCATACTCTAGTTAAGATGTTAAAATTAAATCTGAGTAGTTCAAATAAAAATTTTAGTATGAACAGTTTAGAATTATATTAAAAAAATAAAAAAAATTAAGTTAAAAGGTTTAAAATTGAAGTTGAGTCTAACAAAATGAGCTGGTTTTTCACATTGTAACAAATCAATATTTGAATTTCTATTAAGAGGAGTATTTATATTTAATACCCGACCATGCTTTAAATGATATTACCTCTCATAGATAGGCAACTGTAAAAAATCAATAAAATAAAATATTTTTTGGTTGCAATTCTAATTTTTTTAGTATAGTTATAAACTGTTTAGGCTAAAATTTATATGCGGATTGCTCAAGTTAAATTTTAATGAGTCAAATTATTCAAGTTCAATTTTGACATCTTAATATTGATTTGTTTATTAAATATTAAAATAATATTTTTATAATATTTATTTATTTATTATTATTATGAGTTTGTGGTCTAAAAAAACAAAAAAATAATAATAATAACACTGCCAAACGGCTGTGTGCTGAGCACCAAAACTGAGCTCGGCTTCAGACTAATTTGGATTGGAAGTGAAAGTGATAATAAACATACTGGATGATGAAATAAAAATAAGAATGGAAATTTCTGCTCTGAGAGGCGTGAATCGGGTGGACAATAAATTTGTCACTCATACTCAAAATTTTCTGAGTTTACTGCTTATATATTCAATTTTTACAGTTGCTTCTCTGCATTCATTCTGAAAAGTGAAAACAACTGCTTCACATTTTCATGTAAATGTCTATAGCTCTGCAGTTAACGGAAAGATTCTTTAGATTATGAACACAGAAGTTAGGAGGAAACAGATTAAAGTGACAGGAAAACTTATTAATCAGAGTTTGCTTTTCCTAACTTGCCGAAACCACAAACTTGTTTCAGTCACGAAAAATTATCGTTATGGGTAAAAAGTAGTTGCATCATAAATGATAAAATTGATGTTACTGTCGGGGGGAAAAAGCTTCACATAGACAATAACCACTATTTGGTTTTTCTGCTTCTCTTAAAAGGCGATTCAGTTTTATTTGCAATATTAGTTTTAAGTTAGAAACAATATTTCAATATGCATGTGTGAGCGTGTTTTAATGTTATTATTTTTAATGTATACTGGAGAGAAAGCATGCAAGAAAAGATAACAGAAAATCTTTTGGCTATAGTGATCATTCTGCGGTGTCATAACACTGATTAATCCATGGCTTAAGTAAAAGCTTTGAGTTAGAAATGGCTGAGAAATTTGGCAAACTTAAGCCATGTTAATCCCAAAATAAAACATTCCTTGTTGAAAAGCATTCATGGCATAATCAACTGTTATGTGAGCCAACTTGTATTTTAACCTAATGCCACATCCAATTCCAAAGCCTGACCCTGGCTTGCCCTTCCTCACTCCTGGATTTCCTGCAACATTCTTATTTTAATAAGATGGTCATCAGGCTCAGAAGATTTCCACCATATATAATGTATTAAGACTCACCTGGAACCTTGTGGCTACTCCTCAAATCAGATCCGCTGTCCAGAAAAACAACACCCTCTAATCTCTCGTTCTTTCCAAAGAAAAAAGGGTATGTCAATGAGATATAACAATCGCGAGGAATTAAGAATGAATACCCGGAGACTGGAGGAGAAAATAAACGGACAAAAGTAGTAGAAAGACATTAAATCATATACCAGTGGGAATGTCAATTCACCCCTAGAAACAAGACATGATTGTCCAGAACCAACAGCACCCTCACCGTAGCCTCGAACACTATCAGGGCCACCAATTGCAAATGCGAGATGAGGAGCTATGGATCCTACAATTGACCCACCCGTCACCCTATTAAACAGAATCGGAAGAATTAATAACGTTGATAATCAATACAAGGAGAACGTGTGTTGAACATGAAGAATGATTATATATTCATCACCTCGTGGAGAAAAACGTTGGCCCAATTTTGAGTCCTCTTGAAGCAACGATTTTGAACCGATTGAAGGTCATCAGGTTGGAATGGCATGGAATCCCTTGTTCCATTTGTAAACTCAACTGAATATGAGCTAACTTGTAGTTAGTGAGATGGAATTTTATTTGATTTTAATATATAGTGTTTGAGCTATGATAAAGATAACCTTACATAAGAAAATCGGTCGTTGGTTATTCGTTCATATTTAGATTCTTGCTTGACAACTATCATGTTGTCAAATGAATTTCCACTGCATTATAAGTGATAAAATGCAAGTTAAGAACAGTGAAACAGATTTGCATGAAGACTGAAATTAAAAAAATTAGAGCAACCTGAATGACACAGGAAAACCATCCAGGTCTCTGCTTATGGAGCGGCCACCATCATTCATGAAATGAATTTGCTGCATGGTGAAAACAAATAATGGAACTTTCAATTTAATTAGATGCACGAACTGACATGGAGTGCAATATAATGAAGTATAACATCATTAACTCCAAAAAAAACCTTAAAATTCACGCTGGTTGTAGTGCTCCAATTAGAGCTTGCAGAGGATTCATCCATATAGTCAAAGCCTATAGACAACTTGGACGACCTGACATCTCCACTTGAAGAATGAGAAAATTTGTGCGTGGGAATTCCATGGATCCCAACCTCAGGCGAAATTACATGCTGAGCATTTGAATAAAAGATGTTATAATTTTAGTAATTAATCCAGACCTGAGTCAGACAAAGAAGTGAATGCAAATTAAATAATTAAAATAACCTGAAGGGTTATACAAGGCTGGCCTATATACAGGGGAAGAGGCCTCCTAAATGCTATCAAGAGGTTTGAATCATGCAGGCCTTTGTGCAATGACACGTCAAGCGTTTCGCTTCTGCCAAATAGGTTATTGTGCTTCACACAGAATCTGCAATAAATCAACCAAACCAACTGGTTCCTCGCTGATGGAAATAAGGGAGAAGCGAAATCTGGCATATAAACACGTTGTTCATAGCAAAGAACTAAACCAAATTCCATGTACCTGCCGATAGCCATAGAAAACGGACTAGCAGCACACGTAGCACTGCGTCAGATATGGACAAATTAGCCATCGGCATTTAATAACTAAAGCCAGAGATTAATTTGAAGCGAAAAGCAGTGAAGAACATGGAAACCTGAGGGGAGGGAGAGTACGAGAACAGCATAGCTTTTTTAAGAAATTAACTCTAATTTCGAGTTTTGCTGTTTTGCACGCAAAAATCACCGTTTGTTGGTAATATAGAAGACAAATGAAAAATTGTTCAGTGAAGCAATGATCTAGTGGGTTATTAATATCGAACCTTTGTCAACGTGAATGCTCTTGTGAGCTCCCATTTCTGATCGCGGGGATTACATTATCGACGACTGCAATAACGAGGGGTTAAAGAAGAGGAATAGTTTCGTATTTTGGTGGGAAAATGAATTCATACATGTCACCCATTAACAAGAGAGAAAGAGAAGGTTCCAAGCTTCCAAGCTTTGACATTCCTTGATTGACAGAAACTAGAAGTTTGTCATCACTTTGCCTCCTTTTTCATATATTCCTGTATACTTTATTGTTCTCTGGCGGAGTTTTTATTCCGTACTTGACCATCTGATTTGTAAATAATTCTCTGTGTTTATCTTTTAAAGTTCCGTACTTGATAAAATTTGATTTCTCAGCCAGCTTCGGGAAGCAAACGAGAAAAGATACAGTCTTTTAGTTATTCAACATTACTTAGTATTTCAGTTGTTTTTGTTTGGAAATTCCAAAAATCTGTTAATCTATACAATATTTTCTTATTTTTATTTTTCATTCTATTCTAGCATTTGAAAATTTAGGCATACATACTTTTGACTTTTGGTTCAAAGCACGGGCAATTTTTTTTTAATGAAAAAAAAAAAAACGGGAGAGTTAAAAAGGAAACCCGTATGTGTATTATTAATTTATCATCAATATCGGATTCGGATCCAACTTAACTGGTCGGGGCGCTGGCAGATTCCGCATCAAAATAAAGTAATAAAATAACGGCAGCTTCAGAGGGCTGAAGCCTGAAATCGACGCTGTTATCTTCATGGCTTTCACGGATGACGGCGGCTTTGTTTCGTCGCCGGATATGGAAAAGTTCCTCTGTGAATTATTACTGGATTCCACGCAACTGATTTCTGAGCGCTTCAGGGCTCTCTTCTCTCTCCGCAATCTCAAAGGCCCTTCCGCTCGTAACGCCCTCATTCTCGGTCAGTCGGTGCCTATTCTTTTCTATCCTTCTTTGTCTTTCTCTCCCATGTTCCCGAATCTTGTTCTAAAGAACTATTGGCGGATTGTTTCGTTTTGTGGTATTCTATTTGGTACACTCATTTGTATGTCAACTGTTGATGTGATTTTTATTAGAGATGAAAGAACGAAGTAAAGGGTTTTAAATGCTTGACTTGCACGATAAGGGAGTGAGTAAGTTTTGCATCAACTTGCATTTGTTGTCTGTGGCTCAACTTTATTCATACCCGACTTCAATTTTCTAATTTAGATCATTAGTTGAGGCGGACGTGGGACAGATATGTAAGCTTTGTGCTATATTAATTGATTGTTGTCTGTTTCGCTCAAATTGATCCAAGCTGATTCTTTTTAATTTGCAGCCACAAGGGATTCTTCAAATTTGCTGGCGCATGAGGCTGCATTTGCACTGGGTCAAATGCAAGATATGGAGGCCATCCCAGCTTTAGCATCAGTTTTAAATGATCTTTCTTTGCATCCCATTGTTCGCCATGAGGCATGCGCTTCTTCAAGATTTTGTTTAAATATTCCTTTTGCTGCTTCCTTTATATTGATAATTGATTTTGTTATGTTTTCATAGGCCGCTGAAGCTCTTGGTGCTATCGGTTCGGATAGTAATGTTTCTCTGCTGAAGAATAGTTTGGATTTAGATCCAGCTCAGGAGGTTCGAGAAACATGTGAATTGGCTCTTCAACGTATTGAGCATTTGAAAGATGCTAGCGGTAGTTATGAGTTGTCTGAAACTGGTATATCACCTTTTAGGTCTGTTGATCCAGCGGCACCAGCTGCCTCATGTTCTTCTGTGGATCAATTAAGGTTTGTTTGGTTCATTCTAGTAGTTAAAGCCTCTGTCAGCTTAAGATCAAGGACTATGTTGCTAACTTATTTTAATCAACATCAGGAAAGTACTTCTTGATGAAGGAAAAGGAATGTATGAACGGTATGCAGCTCTTTTTGCCCTTCGAAATGATGGTGGGAAGGAAGCTGTTACTGCCATAATTGATTCCTTGGGTTCAAAAAGTGCCCTTTTTCGCCATGAGGTTTGTTGAGTATTCCTTTTTTACCATCCGATGTGAATTTTGTCTGCATGTATGGTTTGTGTGAATAAATGGCAAGTGCTGTGCTCATTTCTTATATACATAATGTGAAGGCCTAGAGGAGGGTGCCTTAGTGGGCTACATGATCACCTGGTAGCTTTTTCCCCCCAATAGTAAATAGATTTGATATTTGTACGTCTGGTCTAATAATTTTCTGTGCTGTTAATTTCTGTAAAATTTAGGTTGCTTATGTTTTGGGCCAATTACAAGACAAAGCTGCGTCCGCTGCACTATCTAATATGCTTAAGGATGGGGATGAGCATCCAATGGTTAGACATGAAGCTGCCGAAGCTCTTGGTTCAATTGCAGGTATTACCACTGACTATTATCAAATGATGTGGTCTCTCTTCCTTAGTAATGTTGTGTTAAGGAGGTGTTCTGTTGGTTGTGAGCCATCCTCTTGCAAATCAGAAACATCATATGATTAATGAAATTCATAACAGTTGATGCAATACACAGTGAATTCAGTAAGAGGTGAAGGAACTTACTCTTCGAAGAGATGTACAATCTGTTTCTTTTTTCTTTTTTTTGGAGTAAATATGTGTAATCTGTTTCAAACAAAGACTTTTTTATTTATTATTTGTTGTGGATGTGGATGAGCTCTGCTTTCCTGTAAGGAGTTGAGGTTCGCTCTCTAAACCAGCAAAAAATAAACATGTCTTCCTGCGGCTCTGTCATCTTTTTCTAAAACAAATAAGCATGACATTCTTGGTTCCCCCCCAATCTTAATGAAGTACACATGCTAAGGTCTAATCCAATTCAGTTTAGTTCTGTTGAGCTGCATGAGTGGTTGTAGTTAACTATCACAAATTCGAAATTGATATCAACATCAGTACCAAACATAAAATTTATGGCAAGTATATGCTATGAACAATGCAACCTGTTTATTAAATTCTGTGCATTGTATGGGGCTCACATCTAGGATATCATTAGTTCCAATAACGCAGAGTTAAAATCTCAACTGGCATACTTGTTGAATTAACACTTGTTATCTTGGATGCATACCTTCTAGATGACGGGAGCGTAGCACTTCTTGAGGAATTTGTGGCAGATCCAGAGCCTCTTGTCTCACAAAGCTGTCAAGTTGCTCTGAGTATGCTGGAATTTGAACGATCGGGGAAATCGTTTGAGGTATGTAAAGGAACTGTTAATACTCGGGGATTTGGCTTTTCTTGTTAACTGACACAACTCCTCCTCCTCGTGGAATCTTTTTTATGGTGCAGTTCCTCTTCATGCGCACGCCTCTTGTTGAATAGATTTATCAAGTCACATTTTCTTATGGTGTCTTTCGTCATGCCAATACTTGAAAAATAAGTTGATGCACGAGATGACCAGTGAAAAAAAAAAAAAGGAGAAACAAAATTTGTAGGATTTCTGACGGAGGAGTGATACTTTTTCTCAAGTTAAAATTTGCAAATTATAATTGTTGAAGATAGGAAATGAATAGTCTTGTATGAACATATATAATATACTAGGGTTTTGACCACTAAACAGTGTTTTTGCTCCTTGAATGTGGATCTGTCACTCATCAGATTGCGGTTGACATGTAATTGAGATTATGTGCTCCTTCTAAGGTATGGTGATTCTGGGGTTGCAAAGCAGCTCATGTTGAAAGAATATGTCTCTCTTGAGAGTCATTTTCACTGAGGAGTGAGGACTGAGTTTATCTTTCATATTTGCTAATATATCTCTTCTTTGTTCATATTATCTTTCATATTCACCGTGCTTCTTGCATTGTGAATTGAGACTGGCTTATTTCAATTACTTTTGTTCAGAGATGTAATTAGTTTTACTAATTCCTTAGCTAGAAAAGCATGTGAGCTTAAGAATGATTTTTACATCTTTAATCATTCCCCGCGTCTTATTCAAAAAGAGGCCAATGATGAATATCATTTAAGCACAGGTTTCTTATTTCTTGACCGTGTCTTCATTTAACTGAACTAATTTCAGTTTTATTGAAAAAAATCTGCATTTTCCGTAGCTTTATATATATATGTACATACACACATATATAATTTATAAATTTAGTAACTTGTACTCGAATACATTTGTATGTATGCATGTATAATATATAGCAATGATATATTCAAACAAAGTACAAGAGGCGAAGTAAATTATCATTACTGTGTAAAAATTATTAAATACTCCGAAGTAAATTATCATTACCTTGTACTTCGGTTTTGAATAATTTCGTTATTTTACCGTTGATCTAATGTGGGGCGGTGGGTGTGAAAAAAAAAGTTTAAACTGGGTGCTGCTTTGTATGGCATGTTGACATGTTAATTAAATTAAAATTAAAAGCATTCTAATTGAATGCCAAAATTTTAAGTCCTACCATTGGGGATTGGTTCATTAGCTTAGATTTTGTTTATGTCAATGTCCCGTATTTTAGTGAGCTTTGACAATGCTCATTGCCCATGGCCTCCTATTTGTGTTGCTTCAAACCCCTTTGAAGAATTGGAGGCCCTAAAACCGTTTGGAAAATTTATAGAAAAGAGGAAATAAAAATAAAAGAAAAATGCGGTATTAAAATTTATTGGCTTCCTCAGTTTATAAATTTATTTTTGGAAGTTTTTATTTTATAATATAAAAACGTAAAATCTTTCAATTTGTTTCACTCAAATCATAATTGAATTTACCCTTTTTCCTCATCAAACAAAAAAGGAAACATTACTGAATTATGGGCAAGCATTCTCATATAAATTTTAAAGTAAGTTTTATGCTTAAACAAAAAAGGACAAAAGACGCAATGTACATAAATTTAAAAGAATAAAAAGTTAGAATTTAAAAAGAAAAAAGTTAAGAGTTATTTTTATTCTTAAACTCTATACAAAAATTCACAAATGATTCTAAACTTTACTTGAGGTCAATTTTATCCCTCAACTTCAAAATTTTGCTTCCTCTGTAATGCTCATCTTGATATTATCAGGATAATACACTAACACGCTGTTGTGATAATTAGTATTAATTAAAATCCTAAGTAAAAGTTATTACAACTCAAGGGTTTAAAAATAATTAATTTAAAACACTGGGATTCTAAGAAAAACTCTTTAAAATATTGTTTCAGCTTAAATTATAATTTAAAATCAATCAAATATAATAACAAAAACATGAAAATCAAATAGCACTTAAAAACAAGCAGATACAATCTAAAAATTTTTTAGAATCTGACTCGTTCGCCGTAGTGAATGGCACAAAGGGACGAGTCCCTCAGCGAGCATTTTACCGTGGCGCAACTGCTATGCATTGTGGTGCACACCTACTATCATGACAGCAAATCAATGTCATGACAGTACTTTGAACTTTCTGAGCGTGCTGTTTCGCCATTCAATGTTCGATTTGAGCAATTTAAGTATCTACACAAAGAGCTCTCTAGCTAATGGCACTAGTCTCATACTTAAACAATTATCCCTTAAAAAGTTGGACACCTGAACCTAAAATTATTTATTTTTACCTTAAAACACATTCAAGGGTGTCCAAATCACACTTCCAAATGACATTAGCTCTGGAACCACTTTAACCACCTCAAATGGACCACACACAGCACACACGGCCAATCATATTACCCAAACAACCAATCATACTCAAGATGGCCACTAGACCTCTAATTCACAACAATGGGGTAAATAAAAATTCAACTAACATATAGTTTTGGTCATTTTTACACATAATCATCACAATTATATCACTTATAATTGCATCTTGACCTCTCACTCACATTTGAACAAAACAATACAAGCTTAGGTCGAGATATGCACACATTTCACATATTTATACAAGTGATTATCAAAACAAATGAAATGCTCCTAAGTTGGCATTATAACATAACATATTCATTACAAATACAAAAAGAGGAAAGAGAAGAATTATACAACAATGGTCTTCAATCTTCAATAGTCACTTCCTTCCCCTTGCCCATACTAAAGCCTCAACCTGTAAAACATAGCCACGAAATGAAATAAACATCTCAATAACATAATAGTTTACTATCATTAATTAACATGCACAACCATATGAGAGTAGAGCTATCAAGCACCAAAACACACTTTTAGCATATTACAACATAACCTTTTCCATAGTAAATGTCTATTTTCACTTTAGTATATTCAACAAATCCTTTCCATAAGTATAAGTCATTTACTACTAGCATGATTATTCTACCATCCGATCCTTCATGTCACCCCACATGAAACCATAGGTTCTTGAATCAAGTATACATTTATAATAGTCCGAGCTCACCTTCAGTGGTAGGATCACCCGGCCAAAGGTGTTTTATCCCACTTTTGGACTATGATCTTCCCCTATCACACACGAATTAGGGGTATGTTATTTTAACACCGTATCATTGATACCAAGGAATGTCACTCTCCAACACCGTATCCTGCATAGATACTAAAGAGACTTTCTCCAACGCCTTACTTCACTAAACACTAAGGAGATACATGTTATATGGACTTCCACTACTCTTTTCTATGGGTGAACTCCCACCCCCCTGACATGATCATGCTTTTACTTTCCATACATTCCACACACTTGTAAAAAATCATTATCTTTTCCATATAAGGATTCAAAATTTTTTATCATTTCGAAAGTATTTTTTAATGCATAAGGAAAATCATCTTTTCCAACATGCCAAGTTTCCAAAACACATGTAAAAAAATATATGAATCTACTCATGAAATAGTTAAGCAATATAATCAATTAGTGCAAATTACGTAGTTACCTCAACTCTTTGTCACAAAAGGGTTACCGTGGTTTAATGTTAGCTCCAAACGTTTTCACTCGCATAATAACACATGAATAACCCTTAATCTACACAATTAAGTGATAATTATTAATTATCACTCTGGTAAACCCCGAATTCAATAGGTTCTAAGTACTCATAACACTTAAATTCCTTATCTAACAACAATTACCATTTCAAAACACTATAATAATCCTATTAAACATCCTAACATACCAAAATTACCATCCAATTATTCATATTATTTAAAAACTCTTAAATTATGCCTAGTATTCATCGAAACCCTCAATAAAAATTTCAAATCACTATAAAACTCATAAACTTAGGGTTAGAGACTTGATTTAACTTTTTAAAACCTTAAATAAGTCAGTGGATTCATCCATTACTCAACCATAAACAAAACAAGCCTCTAAATGCCCTAAAGTCAAAAATTTCACATAAAATGAAGAGGGGGAGAAAAGGGAAGCTTACTTAAGGTGCAGTAAGCCTAATGTACCTCCATGATGCCCTTAAGATCATGCACTAATTGCCTTAAGGTCTCTTCTATTGCTCTCTTATTTTCCCTTCTTTCATTCCTCTAGTTCCAGTTTGTTTTTGCGAGTCTGATAAAAACTGATTTTACACGTGCGCCACAACGCATGGCATAGAAAGCCCCACTATAATTTAAACTTCCCTTCATGCTATGGGCCGCTTGAACTTCAACCTTTCCTTCTTCTAAGGCTATCTAAGGATTCAAAAATTATGTTAGTCTGCTAATTTATCTAATTTGACAAAAATACCCTTGAAAGCACTGATAATTCCCATATTGAAAACTTAGGATGCTACATCCTCTCTATCTTAATGTTAATTATCCATTAGTAGGGCCCACATAAATTTTTTAATAATAAAATATAATAGTGGGACCTACTTTATATTTTTTCGATTATATTTTTTGAAATTAAGAGTCTAAAATGCCCCTTAACTAAGCATGAAAGGGTCAGAATCACCTCTAAAGTCGAGAAATATTCATTTATATCCCTCAACTGCTAAAATTTTTAATTCCATTAATACTACCTGTTGTGTCAGTTTTCACCATTAGGGAGGCCCACATTTGAATTTTTAATATTTTTAGTGAGTTCCATATTTTTTTAATATTTTTATCATTTTAAAAAAATACCCCTGTTCTACCTCTCCCCTCTCTCTCCCTCTTTCATTCCTTCTCATTCACTCGTTCTTGGATTGAAACAAGTAGAGTGGTAGTAGCAATAGTAGAGCACCCAGTATGCCAACTGCAGTCTTATTATCATTGTGAATGGCCAGGTTGAAGAGTACACCAAAAGCATGTCTCTGCAATGGTTGGTGAAATTCTAATCCCATTTGGCAATGGCAGATTTGAGGACCAGGTTAGGAATATGATACAAAAATTGAGCTTGAAGCCATGGGAGAGCCATGGTGTGAAGTTTAAATTTTTACAAGCTTGAATAAAGACTTGCTGGAAGGTGTGGCTTGAGCCTTGAGAAGACTTACTAAAAATATTTTAAAAATAGTGGGACCTATTAAAAAAATTAAAGTGGCCCCAAATAAAGATGAAATTTGATGGAATAGATGACAAGGTGATGAAATAAAAAATCTTAATAATTGAAGGATATAAATGACCCTTTGACTTTAGGGACAACTTAGGTCCTTTTTACTTAGTTGAGGGGTATTTTAAACCCTTAATCCTATTAAAAAAACCATTGGGACCCATTAAAAATATTAAAAAAATTTAAATGTAGGCCCCATTAATGGTGAAATTTGTTGGAATGGACGATAGGGTAATGGAATAAAAAATCTTAGTAGTTAAGGGGTATGAATGAACCTTTTTTGACTTTAGGGGCAATCCTAATCCTTTTCGCTTAGTTGAGGAATATTTTAGACTCTTAACTTGACAGAAAAACCAAGAAAGCTGCAATAGAGTGGGTTTCAAATAATTATACAAT